GCAAAAAGCCACTTTGGGAGCGATGAAGTATTTTATGATTGTTTGAAAAGTTTAATAATCTCGTATATAAAATAGAACAAAAGACTTTGCCCAGACAACTACTAATGCAAATACCTCTGTACTTTGTTTCCAGATTTATGCAAGGCAGTGATTATTCCATTACTCCATGATGTAGGAAATGTTCCAGATTGTAGAATCAGATTAAAAAGTTTCTCAAGTAGATATTTTAGAAATCTTGAGCTTGTTTTCATCTTTTCTTTGCTTATTCCATCAAGTCCAGCGGCCTTTTTATTTTTGAGTTTTTTTAATTGCTTTATCAATCTCTTCAACCGATATTGCATTGTCTAATTCCGACTGTAAATGGTTGCTGTCCTCCAAACGCTTTTTATCGTCTAATACGTTTATTTGAAATGCCAATAATATCAGTGCTGAGTGTAGGGTTTTAAAATGATCATAAAGTTTATTGGTCGGGTTTTCGTTATTATTATAAGACAAGTTGTTTTCGTTCATTGACTTTAGAGTATCTCAAAATCTGCGGTTGTTTTCGTTACTAATCAGCTCATTTACTTTAGAGTAAAAAACTGTTGTTTTTTGTGTTTTATAAGTTTTTTAACGGTTTTATTTTGAACACTTTTTTCTGAGTTCGGTATCCAGAGGATGTTTTTTGTTAGATAACTTTTTAAGTGAAGATCTTAAAGTTTTCCAATCATAATCAAACCATTTCTTAGTAATTGCCTTTCTTTTAGATTTGTTCGTTGGCTACCGTGAGTAATTTGAGTGAACGTTTTGCTGCCTCAGTCACAATATTTGTGAATTGATTGGTAGCATTTTCAACATCTGGACTGCTTAAATCGAATTTTGTACTTTCGAAGAGATGTAATAACGACAGAATATCATTGGAACGAAAGGCAGCAGTGAATTTTGCTGCAGACGTTTCGTCTGGTGGTAAACTGGCATCCTCATTTGAATTAGGTGGCTCATCACTTTCGCTTGGAACTCTTTCGACGCCTATCTGTGAATTTAAATTGACTGGTTTTAAGATCGTTTCAGTTTCATATAAGTTCAGAGGCAAAGTGCCCGCCCTGTCCATTGTGTTATCTTGTCTTACATTTCGTTGTCTGACGGATTTACCATGCATTTTACCCCATGCCCTCATTTCAGCTTCCTCGTTTCTGGTTATCTTCTGTGAGGTTGGCTTTGGAATTTTGATGTGAGATAAGGAAACTACATGTGATGTTGGCAGTTTGTAATACGAATTTGGATGTGTGTAGTACGCTGCTGTCCACTTAGAAACCCTTTTCACTGCTTCTTCAACTGATGTGCAAAACATCGTCGCATATTCGTACAATGTAAGTGTCTCTCTTAAAATGTGTTACGGCATGCTGATTTTCAACGTGAAGGGTTAAGAGAGCCTCCATATTTAGTCTCATTTTGTACCCGTCAAATAATGACGACTCCCGTATATTAGCTTTGATGGAGATGAGAGACTTCTTCAGAAGTTCGAGGGATTTCAAACACTTATTGGATACAGTACACAAATATCGTTGACCGCAAATCGGGGCCATTTGGGGGAAACCTAGATAAAAATGCTAAAAATTGACTAGAACAAGGTGCATTAGCAATGTTCTGACGTTTCTTAACTCCAGGAAATAAGTGATGCCTCTGACTAGTCATGGTTCCAAACTATTTATCCCATTCCCATTTTTGACATTTTATTCCCATTCCCAGTGACCAAATCCCAGTCCCAGTGGCTTAAATCCCATTTTCCCAGGGCAAAAACCGGTCAATCCCAGTTCCCATTTTACCCCTTCAGGACCCTCTGTTGTGGAAGGTTAACGTTGTTTTTGTCTCGAAAATTGTTATTATTATTATTTGAGAGGTCTGCACCAATTTTGATCCAGCAGACAATTTGAGAGTGATCTGAAAATATGTTTGGTTGCTACTCACTTCATTAATAGAGTGAACAGCGCCTGCTATTGGCCAATAATATTTATGACGTTCTTGGTCTCTCACCTCACGAGGTCACAAATATCATTCTACGGCACGTAACTAGTACTATACCATAAAAATATTTTATCGTATTCCGCTGTAACGATCTACAAGACCTCTCCTTACAAGCTAAAAAAAGGGAAAACAAAGTAGAATATGAAAAACTACAACAGCATAATAATTTGGTTTGCTTGCAATTTTAATCCGAATTTTTTTAAAATGTGGTAAGCCCGTTTTGCTGACACAGCCTGTCTAAATTTAGACGGCAATATCTTTCAAATCATCACGCTCAGCTTGATTGAATTATTGAGGCGCATCATTTCATCGTAACCCAGAGAAATCAAGGCCATTGAGTTCCATCCGTTAAAACGGCCATACTAGAAATTGCATTAATTTATTAAGTGGTAGCTTCTTAAAGTTTACAGCCACCTCAAAGACTCCGTAGATTGCCGGCAGTTTAACAAAACCAATCATGGATGAAGAATCGGAGCCTCTCCTCTCCGCGGAAGATGGCAAAATTCATCCTAGTGGTTGTGAGGTGAAGATTTGTCCTGATGAATGTGAAGAGTACAGAAAAATATCCAGAAGGAACAACTACCAAGCCGTCACCGATGTTGCTGGAGATGGCGGCGATGACAGGTTAGAATTCTAAGCGAAAGCATTGTTTTGCGTAAAACATTCTTTGCCTACGTGTAGTAGTGGAATGCCCGCTCTTCTTATTGATTTACGCGTGTAGAAAAGATTTGTGTTTGTTCGCTTGACTTGTCTTGATCGACATATGATAGTTTAGATTAGCTGGAAGTTTTCGATTTTGTGAATTTTACTGTAGAACTGCGGCCATTTAGTGTTTTGAAGACCTTGACCGACAGTCGAGCTGAAAATAGTTCCAAGTGTCACAAAACACGGTTTCGTCTTCTGAGCCCAGCGGTAACCAAATTACATAAGACTTGAGATCTATGAAGCATTTCAGGATCGCTTGACTTGTCTATAATCGACATATGATAGTTTAGATTAGCTAGAATCTTTCGATTTTGTGAAATTTACTGAGAATATGGGACTGCCGGCCATTTAGTGTTTTTAACACCTTGACCGGTTACCGGCCATATAGCCAGTCACGCACTGTGAAAACTCGGAAGTTTAAATTGCTATATTTTCGAAATGAAACATCCTTCGGAGCTGGAAACTTGTATAAAGATTTATTTTTTATTTATCTTCAACCTAGTGCAAATAAGAATTCGTAAAACCTCACTTTTTTGACAATTTCAAGAGGACGTAATTTTTGTATTTTAAAGAAAGCGTCCTTGTTTTTGCGAGCTACATTTCAATAGGCACCTTGGATATCCGTCTGAAGTCTAATGAAACACCCTCGAACGAAGAAGAACGAACGGGTGTTGTTTTTGACTTCACTGCATTGCATGATTTTTACCTTATCACCAAATACAGTATTTTTTACTTTCAGATGACGTGACAGGTGAATAATCTGTCGTTGTACATTTAATTATTCGCATCATACGGCTATATCCGTTGCATTACCCTAATGCACGCAAATTTGTAGCTTTTTTTTATTGTTGATAAACCTAAAAAAACAATACTCACGGATAAATGCGACGGCTATGCCAGCATGTTGCAAGTGAATCCGTCCTTTCATATAAAAAAAAACTAAGAACAGTTAATTTGGCTTTTGATATTTAATGCTCGCTCGTGGTTCATGTTTAGTGACACGACGTGCTGTTGTTGTGACCGTGTTGACCGTGTGTGTATTTGCAATTCCAAGAGGACATAATTTTTGGAAGTTAAAGAAAGCGTCCCTGTTTTGCGAGCTAAATTTGGATAGGCATCTGGAATATCCGAAGTCTTTTGAAACACCTTCGAACGAACGAACCGTCTAGTGAAGTCTTTTGAAACACCTTCAAACGAAGATGCCGTCTAGTGACGTCACTGTCCTTTGCTTTAATTCATGCAAAAAGTAAAACACGATTTTCAACCGGCAAATAAAGAAATATCCTCAGGAAATGTCTACATGATACAGAATTACTTAACTCTTTTTTTGTTGGAGTTCGTGTTTCAACTGCATGCGCCACTCAGAACGAATCTGTTGTAATTCAATAATCAACTCCATTGCAATCAGGCAATGAAATAAGCTTAAATACACACACGGGACACTTCGAAAACACAACAATTTGCTTTAATTGAAAGGAAGCTATTTGGTCATTAACGAAGAGGAAAGAAAACGAGGAAACAAACAAATACTTTGTTCGTAGTTAAATTAAACATTTCATAGTTTCAAAGACAAGGGCAATTTTGCTGTTTACTATTACAGATTGTCTCCGTGCAAACATGCCAAGGATGCGATCCGCTGAATATCAAACGACAATCCTGCTAACATTTCTCATAATTATACATAATTATGCGAATCTTTGGACAATAAACCAATCAAAATCACTACCCGAGGTTAGTAAGTAAGAGACTTTGTTTTATGAGGGTGACACGTAACAGTAACTAAACATTACTGATCAACTTGTGGCCCTCTGATCAACTTGTGGCCCTCTAGTTACTGGACGGCATTAACGGCGGGTCTATTCAGACGTTGCTGAGAGGAGAAAACGACTCAAAGTAATCGTCTGAAATTCAGCCTACTCTGTTTGGTCTGTTCTGCTCTGTTGAGGTGTGGAGGCCGGTAACAGCTGGCTGGGTGCTTCTCTCTTATCAGGGGTGTGGAGGATGGTGGATGTGTGGTTCTCTTCTGATAAAGTGAGAAGGTTGGTGGAGGATGGGCTGCATCTCGTTGACTAGCTTTTGAAGACTGTGTAAACACAGCGTTTATGGTTTGTTCGGGCATGCGGTTGGGTCGAAGCCTGGTTGCTTCCTTCTGTTTGGGTCCCGTAGACACTGAAGGCCTGGTTGATTCAACTTGTGCGGGCATGCTGTTTGGTGGAGGCCTGGTTGCATCACCCTGTTGGGGTGCTTTGTGCACTGAAGGCCTGGTTCCTTCTCCTCGTACACTAGTTGAATTACTTGCCAGTAGAAGACAGGGAAGGCACGGTATCCCTGGTCTGTTCGTGCGTGCGGTTAGGTGGAGGCCTGGTTGCTTCACCGTGTTGGGATGCTTTTGTCAGCACCGCTGCAGACAGTGGAGTTTCCACCTCTTCATTCTGGGCTGCAGACAAACCATCTTGGTCGTCTCCTGAACTCAGTTGCTGTGGCTTGTAAATCTTAACATCCTTCAAATTAGTTTTCCGCCTTAAAATCTTCCCAACTCGCCCGCATAGCTGACATTTTCCGTTTTCCAGGTTAATTTCCTCTATTGGGTAATTAGGCCCCGGCCACTTATCTTGTGATTTTGTGACCTTGCCCTTGACTTTTCTGAAGCATGTTACCTCGCAGCACGACATCTCCCTTCTTAAAGCTCTTATTTATGCCTGCCTTCCTCTTTCGGTACTGCCTTGTTTTGTTTCCCCTGGGCTATGGTTATGTTGCGTTCTATCTTGGAAAACCGTAACATTTCTTGTCGTAGCCATCTTGTCTATGTACTCTTGCAAAGCATCCTCCTTTCAGCCTGCTGCACAAGTTTTTCAACGTCGAATGGTAGCCGTGGTTGAAGACCAAACATAAAGAAGCAGCTAAACTTAGTGGTGCTTGAGACATTGGTCAAGTTAATGGCAAACAAGGCGCCGTCAATGAAGTCATCCTAGTTGTTCCCGTTTTCATCCATGCCCTTCCTGAGAATGTCCAGCTATTGTTTTCGCACGGAAAGTGATATATTATCATTAACTTTAGTTTCATTATACCAGATCCCAGCGGCTGTATAATCGGGAAAAAAAACGTATGGTAAAAAGGAAAACGGTGGAAGGAAAGGCTCCTGATTTCACCTTCGCCCCCCCTTTTTTTTTCACGGTGACTTACGAGACTCGCGGAAATATGACCCTTTTAGCTCGAAGCCAGCAGTTCTATTTAATCTATTCGAGAAAGGGTTGACTCCAGAAATCAGTGAAATTAGACGCACCTAGTCATGGGCTCCTGTCCCTAGTGATAAGTGTTTCCTTAACCAGAAAACACATATCCTCAGTGATATGTGTTCCCGTGTAAAGGAAACACATTTCACTAGGGATCTGTGTTCGGGGGGGAACACATATCACTGTAACGTCACAGTAGCAGTAGCTCCTGACCTAGTCCTGACGCACGAGAAAATGAGATATATGGGGATATGTGTTTGGGGCAACACATATCAAGGGGGAACACATATCACTGTGACGTCACAGTGATATGTACTTTTGTTCTCCCGTGATAGATACCGTGACAATTGACACTATTTGCCTGGTGTCTAGTTCCTATTATGTTTTCCTATTTTTTGAGCCTGTTCCTATTTTCTCCTATCTTCTAACTAAAACCCCCTATTTTTCCTATTTTATAGCTTGTGAAGCCAAAATTTGTAGCAAAATTGAAAATGGAATTATAGTTGTATGTGTTTTAGAGTGAGATTTATGATAAAGCAAGTAGTATGTTGACTTTGATGTTCTAATATTAGCAAAAATAATAGTTACATTAATTTTGTTCTTTCCATGACCTCTATTACCTTTTTGAGTTCTGTTAACAACTTTATTATGTTGTTACTTTTATGATTTTCTAGTGCACCCACATGTATTGTATGTAGTGTTATACAGTGTAGTGCTCATGACTATTGAATAATATTGTGCATAGCCCACTGAAACTGCATTTCAGTATCTGTACATGTTATATTTTATTTTGAAGTCTTGCTCCCTTTTATGTTCATCTTTGAAACTGAAAACAGGATCAAGTTGTCCTCTCACACTGACACTCAGTCAGATAAATCATCCAATCAGCTTCTTGTTTAAAAAACCAATCACAAGCTGGATTCTGGATGCTGCATGAAAAGAACAGACTCAAGTTTAGTTTATGGCACTAGCTCTCTTGGTGAGCTCTTGTTAACAGCCATTCCTAAGCAATTGACGAAGGATCTAATATTTTGATTGCGAAACTGGTCCTGCAGCAGCGTGTTACGTTCTTCTTAGAACTTTACCACGACACACTTACAATCTGATACCAAATCGATCAGTGTCATTTTGCGTACACCGCGGAAAGCCTGGTTCCGTGATTATATGTTAAACTGTGCGGTCTTTTGATTCAAACAAGCATATTCTCAACCAGAATTACCGATTGCAGATTAATGTACGGAAAGTTTTCCACAGGACTTTTTAGTCCTAGTTCGATATCCTTCAACAACAACGCAATCGTAACAAATTTGTATCCTAAGAAATTTCATTCCTCGAAGCTTTTCAAAGATTTGCTGCCAACTAACTTGAAGGGAATTAGCATATGATCACCTTTGATTATAGAACCATGCTCGACCTGTAATCAAGCATATCATTCTGATTACAGCGTAACTGAGCCAATAAACTAAACGTTCAAATACCGATCACTCCTTCTAAGCCGCGAAAGTTGACCTAAATCCTGAGAACGTAGAAGCTGGGGACTCGTAGCCTTTATTACAAACCTGATGGGATGCAGGGAGACTATCTTTGTCGGCGAAAGTACTATTGATTTTCCTATTTTTCTCCTATTTTTTAATACAAAGTTTCCTATTTTTCTTATTTTCTCAATCCTGGGTTTCCTATTTTCCCATTTTTTTGAGCATCTATGGCACTGGACAACCCTGTATTTGCAATGTGTGTAATTTTCCAACATCAGGCAGGGAGCAGCTCATTTCCTTATACTCAAAAAAGAGAAAAAACTTTATTTTCTTAATTTTTGTTTTGTTTAGTAACGACAAGGAAAAGAAAGAAGCAGAAGAAAAACCACCCATGGTTTCTTTTGGCCGACTGGTAAGTTATCGAACTCAGTTTCAAGCAGAGGTTATTAATTTCGATCATTGGTTGATCGATTCTCCAACAGAAAACTCTGTTCTTCGTCAGGCAGCAAAAATCGAATTAGCCTGCCAACAAGCTCTCCATTTTACGTGGCGAGCGAAGCAAACCGCGAGAAAACGCGCGAGCGAGCGAGCGGCGAAGCACTCGCACTCGCGTCTTCTTTCGCGAGCGGCTCTCTCGTGAATTCTCGCGACTGCTCCGAATGGAGAACTTGCTCATAGGCTAAAAACTAACCAGCAAACTTGATTTTTTAACTGATGAAGAGAGAATTTCCGTTCGCTAATGGCTTAAATGACCTTTTTCGAACTGTCATAACGAAAAAAACTAATCAGCTCATCAGTTTTGTCAGCTACTGTCGCTTTGTGGTGGTTTGTCGGGACTTGTTTTTGAAAAGTGAATCATGTTTTAAAACGATTCAGCCATTTGTTTGAATAAATCCCGGGGGATACCAACCTCGTTCCTAGGGTTCTTGACTCATACTCGTTGCATGGACTGCGCGTTTTTCTCATTAGTTTTTGCAATCTCTGCATGTTACTATGTTGGAGCCTGGAACAGGCTGGTTTAGGAGTGGAAGACCACTGCCGGTTCCACCCAGTGCTGTGTTCAAGCAGAGCTTTCAGTATAAAATAGCAATCCATACAAACAGTACTAAGCACGGTCGTAACGAGGTATATGGTATCAGGGATCAATAGCACAAAATTGGGTAAGATCAGGGGTCACAGCGCCGGGATCTGGGATCACAAGCCGTGGGATCGGGATCAATACTGGTTTTCCGATATAACAACAAAGACCACAAAATTCTAGAAAGCACCTTAATTGGACGAACCCGCCAACATTTAAGGTGCTTTGATACAGTTGTTCGGAGACCATTCCGATATTTTTCAATCGCCTTAAATGGGATTTTATCCTTGTCCGATTGCTATAAGATGATAGACACTTTATTATGTATGTCATTCCTTCTTTATGAAGTATACGCAGCTAATCCGACCCAGATTGAATTCAGGGATCCAAAAAAATTTTTAAGCGATCAGGGATCAAGATTTGCAACAATTTTGAGACCAGGGATCCAAATTTAAGTCCTAAATGTGGGATCGTTTGGGGGAAAATAAACTTCGTTACGACCCTGACTAAGGGATGACTAGCCCGGCTGTAATTTAAGATGCTTTGACATGCCGTTAAAATAAACTAAAAGTATCATCATCAAGTTTGTGGTTCCTCGTATCTCGACTTAAATGGATCAACCTCACTGCCATAACGGATGAATTTATTCTATAGACTACGTTTTCGTCGGGGATAGTAGAGCGAGCGCGCGAGAAAGGTGACACGTGGATGAAAGTACCGATTCGACTACAAACCCTTTGCAGCTAGCCATTCACGTGGTACAAAACTGCCATGTAGGAGAGCAACAAATGGGATACATAATTTTAAATGGTAATTTCCTTGGTTTGTCTTGTCCCAGGGCGACTTTTGCTCTTCAGTATAGTTGTTTTGTACCACGTGAATGGCTAGCTGCAAAGAGCCTATTCCCTCACTTTTCCCGGCTTTGGGATAGTAAAAATAAGCGAATTAGGCGAGAGCGTGACACGTGGAAGGAAGGGCGATTTTTTCGAAAGCAGAGTACCGAGTCGGCTACTAGTAGTCCCTCATTTTCCTAAGAGGTGGTAAAATGAGCAAATTAGGCGAGCACGCGTCAAAATAGCAGGGCGCGAAGAATGTCTCTGGCGGAGGGAAGAGGGAATTTTTTGGTAGAGCAAATTACCTCATTTTCCTCAGGGACAGTAGAATGTGTGAATTGCGCGAGACTGCTTGAAAATAGCTGCGCGCGAGGAAGAAGCCACGCGGAGGGAAGAAAGTAGTTTTTGTGGAGCTAATACCTGTTAGACTACGAGTAGTCCCAAAATTTTCATCAGTGAGGGATATTAGAGCCAGCGAAGTACGCGAGCGGGCGTGAAAATTTCCGCGCGGGAGAAAAGTTTCTTGACTACTGAATCCAAGACTGATAATCTCGATTACAATTAAAATTTGTCTTTGTGCTCTTAGCGCTAAAATGTTTGAAATTCCAGACGTTTCGGGAATACTGTCCCTTCATCAGTGGAAGATGCCGTTACACTAAGCACGCGTCATTTTATTCAAATGTGGCAAGATTTGAAGCGCGCGCTGGAAGAGTTCGCTCAAATAAAATTGAACTCAATGTTTATGCCGCTAGGCTGTAGAGTGTTGCATTTAAAAATTAGGCGGCCTTCCGCTCTACGTCTGTCCCTGGTGTTGTGAAGACCCGCTCGTACAACAGCTACTATCATATCATCTGTTGTGTGACCGGGGGAGGAAAAATGCTTACTGATAATCTCGTACTGATTTGTCAATGATCGCCTTAAAATTCTTAGGTAATTTACAAATTCCTTTCCACTTATTAATGTTTGATTGTGTCTTAGTTTCGTTTTAGTGACAAGCTAGATGTTGTGTTGCTTACCCTGGGCACTTTAGCAGCAGTTGCTCATGGAGCTGCGATTCCCCTTCAGTTCCTCATCTTTGGTGATCTAATACAGAGCTTTATCGAGTTTGCGCAAGCACAAACCGGCAATGCTACACAGACTTACGATCTGAATGGCGAGATGACAAAATTTGCTCTGTATTATGTTTACCTGGCGGCTGGTAACTTTGTCGTCGCTTATGGACAAGCTTATGGACAGATGGCGTTCTGGTCCCTTACTGCTACGCGGCAAGTAAAGAAAATGCGTCTGGCTCTCTTCAGTTCCATCTTGAAACAGGACATTGGTTGGTTTGACACATCTGAACCGGGAGA